TTCTTTGCTAAATCGCCGTTCGGTGGTAGAATTTAATGTTGCTCCCAAACAAATCGGGATTTATGAAAGACTAGCTTGGTCTATTTATTAATGTCTGGTTAAAACCATCAAGAAACTTTTCAAACCAAGTTTCCTCTCTTTCCGAATAAAAACAAACTTTCCGTCATCACTGCATATTAAATCAACTAAGCGCCAAATTTAATTTCCATATTACAAGCTGAAAGTGACTGCACGTGTAGTTCAATAGAAGTCATTACAAAGTTTAATGCGCTTTCAGCCATGAATATTACGAATTAGTTCGTAATTTAAAAGCAACTAACTAATTTTCAACTGGCTGCCACAAAATAACAAAAATGTGGGAAAACGTTTCGCCCTGCGAGCGAAGTCCAGATGTTAGCTGGGGATAAGAAATGTAACTGCCAAGAGAACCGCGGAAGCGCTAATCAACTGTAAACAGACGAAACGCGCCGCAATAGCAAGAAAATCCGAAATTAAAGCAAAACCGTATCAAGGAAAAATGATGTAATCGAATTTAACCACAGCTTTTGTCCTCAGAAAACATTCCAGAACTGCTGCTCGTCCAGAAGCACCCGCAGCTGCAACTACATCCCAGCCCCCGTTAAAAGCCACACGAAAAAGTTCCCGGAAAATTTTTTAGGGGAAGCATTACAGCTGGCTCAAACGGGCGATGCGAGAACTTCTTGTAATTTGGACTGCAAGCCATCTGGAGTGAAACTGACGCCCCAAACCAGCCAGACCAGCTTCTCCTCGTCGAAGATCGAAACTTCGCACGCCCTCCTCAGAGATGACTCCAACACCAAACCCTCCTCAACTCACATGCAGGGCATGGCGCCTTCATGTGCTTCGCTAAAAACGCGCTTCTTGCGTCTGTTCAAGTCTGGGCTCAACCAGAGCTACGTATCGAATGCAAGCAAACTCAATAAGGGTTCGAATACTATCAGCAATTCTAGCCTGAAAGACACTGATGAGATTGACTTGGTCTGTGCCGATTTGGTCAAGCAGATGCAGGAAGCGAACGAAGACTGTATAAAATAAGAGGTGGCAACCGCGGCTAGAGGATATATGTAGGGTGCTTCTTGAAGGCGTGCAGCCTCGGAAGGAAATGCCAACTAATTTTGCCACAATATACCGGGTAATCCATTTGAAATATTTTCGTTTCCCGTCGACTGCACCTTCAAAAAAGGAAATCAATGAATGCCCCGAGAGACACCCTGTATATAACGTAAGAAATTGTCAATCATCGGTTATTGGTAATGGCATATTGCCAACTTTTCTATAAATAAGGCTTGTGAATAGCATTTGTACAGGGCAGGCATAGTTAAGTTCCATGGACTGGTTGGATACACCAGGCCCTCTCAATTAACTTATCATAAATATGTATGTGTTCACCTTAAGGCAACGACTTCCTCAATATTTTTGTATGTTTCCAATCGATGTTCAATTTGACTTGACACGCTTGATCTGTTCGCGCACCATTTCTACGTACATCCAGTGTCTGGACGATCTTTGTCCGATCAAGAAGAAGGTTGCTGGAACGCGTCAAGGAACTTCGTATCGAAAAAACTAATTGGTTTTTAGGCCGTCCTAAAATGGAATTTGTTCCCGACGTTTCGCAAGCACGAGTGGCTTGCATCTTCAAAAGTGGTTTGCTTGAACGCTTACACTGTTCTCATCAGAGCCCAAGTCAAGGGCGGATCCAGGGGGGGTCATGGAGGTCATGCAACTCAAAAAAAACCACGCAAATCTAAAACTTCTTGAATTCAGGCATTTTTGAGAAAACTGCCAACATTTCGCCATTCATGGTTCACTTTCTAAAAAGGCCATTTACTTCTCTCTAGAATGATGTACAAATGAGCGTTCTTGCTCATTTTGCCTCCGAGAAATGAGCAAAAA